GCCGAATATCTCACGGCGCTTCGCGCTTGGTGATGTGAGAGCCTGGTCCGGTGAGAACCCGGCGTGCTCCGTCCCGGCTTTGTAGGGATGCGAGGTCAATGGTCGAACGACTACGGCATGCACGACTATGAGTACCCCCGTCCCCGTCCCGTCCCCCTCCCCGTTTTTTTGCCCACGACCGAAACGATCGATGCATACATAGGTGGTGGAGGTGTTCGATGCTGGCGAGGGAGCCTTACGGTTCACGTTCCACACACCCTTCACGGCCACGGGCAAGGTACACGGTTCCACCGCGGAGCAGTGCAAGAAGCTCACGGAATTGGAGGTAAAGTGGAGAGACAAGAAAAAGACTGAGGAGACATGGGAGTTCTAACATTTTTTTGTTGCGTTTTGGAATAGGGGAGATGCACTCGCAATCGAGGCCGTCGGGACCGGTAAAGAGTTCCCTAATCTTTTTTGGTTTGATTGTTTTTTTTGTTGCGTTCTGGAGACTGGCGCGGGACTGTAGATTATGATGTTGTTCGTGTGCTGCAGAGTTGTTTCTGTTTTGTTAAAGTGGGTGGTGGACATGGACAAGTCTGTCTAGGCCACCCTCAACTATCCGACTAAAGATGGTAGGGTCAAGAGACCTCGTGTTTTTTTTTGTTTTGCGCCCACGTTTTGTCTCCGCCCCCTGGCCGTCTCACTCGATTCCGTGATCTTGAAGCTCCTCTCTCAAAGGGTGTCCGGAATATCCTGTCGGGTTTCCTCGTCAATGCCGGGAACTGTTTTCAAGTGAATTGTGGATTCCTCGTTTCAGTCCATGTGTACCCCTACCACCTCCACTACACCTGGCGCTCGCGAATAACAAGAATTAAAGGAAAGGCTCAGATTTTGGCGATAAATTAGAAAAATCGACTATTGAGAAACAAATCCTCAGCCGTGGATCCTACACTTTACTCTATATTATGAAGTACTTCGTATATAACTATGCTCGACGGTGGTGACGAAGCGAGAAATTGAGCCTCGACCCTCAACTGATGTTTCCCAATCGCGGGCGCTAGCGGTATGCAACTTTCAACCGAGTGAACGCGGTCGGTGATGATCCCCTAGCTGTACTGGGGCATAGTGAGTGGGCCGGAAAGGCGGGAAAGTGATATCGATAGGTATCAATAGGGGAGAACATTTTGAGCCACCGTAGGCGAAGCAGGAAGGAACGATTTGCCATCCATGATCGGTCCTTTGGGAACAATGTTCCGTCCTCTCGAGGTCAAAAGGTATGCAAAACGTGAGACATGAGTATGTCCCCCCCCACCGCCCCTCCCGGTGTTTGCCATCGGGGTTGGGTTTTCGTCGCTTGGCAACGACGTTGTAAAACAAGCCAATTCACTTCGTGAACTCGGCAACCAGGTTACCGTTTGTTTTTTTTTACCTCCGGTTTTTTTTTCTGGCGGTAACCATAGTGGGTGTCGAGTAGATCATGTTGTGCGGGGT